TAATACACGCCAACTTGCGGATTTAATATTATTGGAATTAAATAATTTAATTTTTAATATCTTTAAATATAATTATATTAAAAGATTTAAACGATTTATTATGAGATAAAAGATAATTCAACTATTAATGTATATTTCTTTATTATTGAATATATCTAAAAATTTAATTTTTTATAAATTATTTATATCATAGGAAAATGGATCTCACTACAAATAAAAGATAATATATAAAAAATTTTACCTAGGCATTCGGTACCACTTTTACCAGATTTATGTAGTAAATATTGATATCCCAAATATTCTATGTAATTTAATTTTTGTTTGTTTTCTAAAAAAAAAAATTTATATGTAAATTATATTAAACATACTTTGATTTCTAATTTCCTAAGCTTAATTTTTTTTTAAATGTATTCAAAAATTGTGAACCAAATATGTTGAAAGAAAAAATTCCCGTGTTATTGATCCACCAGAATGTATGGGAAAAACAAGTTCTTATATTGAATGAGAGATAGAATTAAAATAATAAAATTAAAAATATACTCTAGAGATTAATATAAATTGAATAATAATAAATAATGATTTTATACACTATGTTCAAACTATTAGGCCAAAAGAGTCATCGTAAAAAAAAGATTGTTTTTTTCATGGGACAAATAAATAGTAAGGAACATTATTTGTTAGCCATTGTGATTATAAGGGTCATATGGAGATAAATTATCTCAATTTTGTGTTGGTTTTCCTCTGAAGAAGTCTGTATACTTGTTGATACAACTGTTAGAACTTATTTTAACAAGAAATTATTAATTTCCAAAAAAAATAAAATGTGGGGAGTCGTTATAATCGAAACGGGGTTTGACAGAGATACATGTGTCAATTTTTTGTTGCCATTTTAGCCATAAAGGACATAAAAAAAATTATAAATACAAATTAATTTTAGGTAAAAATAATACGCGATTAAACTCGGCCCCCCTCAGATGTTGAAGATTCGACTACTCATTTCCATTTAATCGGACAATTTTAAATATGGGTTAACTTTATAATGTAAGGAGCCCTCAACACGTTTGTGGGGACCATTCGCGCATGCGTATACGCATAATAAACCAAAGACTATTATGCGTATGTCCATAGGCTGAGTGCAAGGGAGGCAGGACAAAGATAACAGCCTACACCCTATAATTTTCATAAATTTAATTAACTTTAAAGGGGGACGGGGGTTATAGATATTGTTGAGATCTCTCAGGAGGATTAAGAGTGTAAAAAACACTTTTCTTCTTTTAGATTTGCCTATTACTTTGAGAATTTTTTGTGGTTGTTGAAGTATATCTGCCTTTAATCTTGAGTTATTTTTGTATGCATCATCGATTTAATTTTCTCTTCATGTTTTTATCAATGTCGAGCGCTTTCTTATTTATGTAGGTACGTCTATCACTACATAATTAATTATCTTTGTATAGTTTTCCCAGAAATCATTATTAAAAACCAACATTAGCTCTAAGTTGATTTATCTTTTGTAACTTCTCCCTTGACATCCGTACATTCCCTGAAAAGCTGTTTTGGTTTGGCACGTTATTCTACGATTCTGATAAATCCCCCTTAAATGTTTTCAGCATTCCTCTACAGTTCCAAGTTCCGTCATGTTTTATGAACTATTTTCCTATTAGTGCTTTATCTAATTGTCTTTAACCTCCGGCATTTGTACTAAGATCTCTGCATGTAAATTGAACTGCCGATTGATTTGTCATTTGGCCAATAGAATTTTGTGATGATTTTTCATCACCCCTATTTTTGCTATAAACATTTTGTGATCAGATTTAATATTTGCTATTGCTTTGACGTCATTTGAACTTCCTATGGATGTTGTAGATAAAGAAGTCGATTTTTGAGGTTTCTCGCGGGCTCTCTAGAAGGTATATGCGTTAATTTCGTAATTGGTTAAAGAACGTATTTTCGATTTTAAAGTGTTTTTATTTCAACAAAAGTTCCGAATTTTCCTGATCTCATCACTATTTAGGTTGTTGTAAATTAGTATATAGGCAATGTGGCGTTTTTGATTTGGTTAGGAGTATCCTGGCTTGGTATAGATTTATTTAACGTTAACATTAGTATCAAGTTGCCCTTTAGATTGAATCAAATTAATTCATGGCCAATTCAACTTGAAACTAGGGTGAACAATAGCAGCTATGTTTAACATCAAATTAATAATTTATAAAATATTATCATTAAATAGATGAGTCTAATGGTAAAATGAGATGTTTATTATTAATTATTTGGTGTAAATTTTTTTTAAAATTTATAATATAATTCTTACTATGGCCTGTTGAAACATGTCATGTTTAGACCGGACCAGAAAATCAACTTTCCACGTAAATTAATCTAGAACAATCTGATTTGATTCAAATATTATCTTAAAGATTAAGGATACACATAGATGTTAAATTTGGATATATTATTTTTTAAATGTTTTCTCAAGTTAAATAGTCTTGTTTGATGATAAAACTTTCTGGCATCGCTTACAATGAAATTAATACCCTGTGTTATTTTTTTTTATAGAGATTAAAATATTTTGCTAATATTTACAAAGGGAAATTCCCTACTATATTCATTTTACAGGGAAATTACTTTGTCAATAAGTTTCTGCACCAAAATTTTCTTCAATAACCAGTCTCTATTGTCGATAATTTAAAAATTTTAATTATTTTTGAAAACTATATTTTATGCGTACTTTTTTTTAAATTTCAAAATAAAATAAAATGATTTTATAATTACAAAATCGTAAATTTATTAGCAAGTAGGCCTAAAACGAATTAATTGTTATCCGATATTCGAACGAATACGGACGGATAACATATCGAATATAAGAGTATTCGTCGAATAGTTAAATTTTTATTATTCAATTCGAATTATTCGAAATTATTTATAATGGAATTCTTTGAACAATTATCTAACTTCATATAACATAAATACAACAACTCTATTAAAAAAATTTAAGGAAATACATAATTGAATATAAAGTTAAATATAATATTAATACATCATCTGATAAAAACAAAGGTCCATATTGCTATCAAATTTTAATTGGGGCATTATTTTTTTAGGCTTATTTTATTCAGTTATATTCATCAATCTAAAAATATATGTAGATTATAAAGCATTTATTTATATCGGTGACCTGCTGAGGCACCATTTTCATGGTCCGGAATATTTTTTTAACAAAAATTTTTTTTGGGTGATACTTTTTCAGGCCCAGTCCTGATTTTTTTTTTAAAAAATATATTATATTCATATTTAATTTTTATAGCCAATAATGGAGATTTTAAATATACGGCCCAGCCAGGGTTATTTTTTTCTAAAAAATAAGGTCCGGCCCATGTATCCAACTGGGCTTAGGGCTGGACCTACGGGTCTTTGATTTATATAGTAAAATTTTGTAATCTTTTTTTTGATCCTAAAGTTTTTATGTCAGGAGAATATCCCATCATCTATTTCATGATCAATGTAAATTGTTACCATTTTTTAAAATTATTTATTTTTTAAATAAATTACGTTATTCATTATTTTATTTTTAGAAAATTTATGATTGTTTATCAGTTCATTTTTATAATATAAAAATTTTTAAACTTTAATAAATATAATTCTTAAAAAAATTTAAATATCAATGCTGCAAAATTTTTAAATTAAGTCATCTTGTTACTATTATTATTTAAATCAGAAGTTTTAATAATATTGGCCAATAACCTATATTTCAAAAAAAGGAATAATTGGCCTGATCCTATAAAAAAAATATATTGGTGAATCCCTAATTATAATTGAACAATTTTGGCTGTATTTTGGAAATTATTTTAAAGGGTAAAAAGAAACGTGAAAATATGCCCAGTAAATTCAATTTTGATTTTCCAACAGATTTAATTTACATAATTTTAATTAATGAAAAATTGTATATGAATAAAATTAAAACAAAACTTTTAATTAACCCTTACCCAGACATCTCTATGACCTGATTCATGAATTCAAGTTCTGATTTGCCTATGTAGATTGCAATTAATTTTACAGTGAGGGTAATAATATTTCCTAAATATTTAATGTATTTTTCTAATATTGTTATAATATATTTTATAATAAAAACGATGATTAATAATTTTAAATAAATATAAATTTTAAAAAATCTAATAAGGGAAAGTAAACAGACTAATTGTGTTCAATAAATATTTATATTCAATATATATATAATAAACTAATTGTTATCTTCTTATAATTATGTTTAATAAATATTTGTATTTAATATATATATATAAATAATTTATTTGATCTATTTTGATTATTCTTCACATAATAAATTAATATATGGCTTAAAGCAATAATTTGATTTTTTCAATGATAATTCCAATTGAATCGGTTTATCTCTTTTATTAATTATTGTATTTGCCTTTATGGTTTCTGATTTGATAAACTAGGTATATAAATTTATATATATTGCTATCAAACTTATAATTTACCTTAATACTTGTTGTTCTCTTGAAATCATTAAGTTTATCTTGGCATTTTTCAACATCATCTATTAATTCATTGTAAGGAGCCAAATCTATATTTAATTCTTTGATTTGTTTTCTAAATAAAAAAACATATGTTAATCAAATAACTTTATAATATGTAAAAAATTAATATCAATGCAAAAGAATTTTAGGTTGTGTCCAAGGTCTTTTTTTTTAAATTACAATTTAAAAGTTTTAAAACTCTAAAGAACCATAATGATGAGGTTTTGGTAATTTTACAGGCAAATATTTGGTTGTATTTTTTATTTTTTCTTTAAAAGGGTTATTTCATCTTTTTTTATAAGGTATTAAAAGATTTTAGACATAGACTTATATAAATAAAGAGCTAATGTAAATGACAAAAAAATGTAATTACTTTTTAAAATTTTCTAATGCATTTCTATAGAGATCATTTAATTCATTACTCTCAGTTTTTAATTTTTTTATATAACTTTCAATTATGTTTATATATCCTTTATATTCTGCATATTTTTTTTCTGCTTTTCTAAAATAAATACATGGCTTTATTAAACAATATACAATACTTTTCAACTGGATCTGTTTCATTTGCATGTAAAATATCAGTTAAGGTGACTATAAAAAAAAATTATTCACATATTTATATTATAATAGATACTTTTTTTAATTTCCAAAGGAATATTAATATTATAAATGCTTTCAATTTGATCTGTTGAAGTATGAAATGCTCGATGGGCCAGCACAAGCAAATCTTTTAATTATATATAAAAAAAAGATTTAGAGTATATCTAAAAATAATTTTAAAAAAGGTTTGCGAATTTTAACATAAATTTTAATTAAAAATAATACCTTCTGAATTATTTTTCTCTCCAAAAGTTGACCGTCTTCCTTTTTTTAAACGTTTGACTTGATCCATTTTAAATTTAAATTTCGTTTTAAAAAAAAAATGAATTTATCTTTGCATAAATCCTGATGATTAACAACCTATGACGTGTGTAAATAATGTCAGGTTATAAATAATTTAATATATTTATTACATGTAATATTTAAGTTGAATACTTTATTATAACTTCTTTGGGTAGGTAAGACTATCATAATTTATTTTAAAAAATAAAAAATCATTTGTATTAGCAAATATTTTAAATTAGTCATAAATATTCAAAATTGGTTGTAAATGCTCCAATTTATGTAAATATTTTAAATTATTCGTATCATAAGTATTAAACTTAAACCTTAATCTTTTCATTAAATTAAAGATAATATATCATTATTTTAAGGCTCCACAAATCATCTATGCATATATAGAGGAATATATAAAGCTGTAGAGTTTAATACAAGGAATTATTGGGTGATATACGAATTCGTAAAGATTTTTGATACAAAAAGAATGATTATCCAGCAAAATTAGGATAGATCTAAATACTTTATAAATTTAAGAAATGATTTTGATTGACGTCAAAAAATTTCGATAATATAAAACATGTTCTTTGTAACACATTGCCGAAATATTTTAAAATTTTCGGTGCGTTATTTCATTAAAAGTACACATAATAATAAAAAATTAAATGTAGTAAAATATACAATCTATATATCTCCAATTCTATTATTGCCTAAATTAAGTACGAGGTTATTTTGTTTAGCTGATTGTCAAAATATCTGTGAATTCTCAAAAAATTCTATCACAAATTTTGAAACCGAGCATAGATACTTTTTATTACATTACCTTAAAAAGGATTTAATTTGGTTGGCATTAACTATATTGGTATATAAAACCTTATATTATTAAAATTTTCATATTTAGAGTGGTATATTAGTGGCAATCATAAATATTATTCTGCCAACCTATTTTGGTCAGTTAATTAATATAATAAATTCATCAAATTCTCTATCTTTGAAGGAATACTTAAATGTTATCACAGTGCCAATAAAGCATCTTCTATATCTATATGGGTTACAAGTAGATACTAAATTAATAAATATATATTATGAAATATAGTTTAATTTTTTTATAATCATAATAAATTTAGTTAGCTATCTATTCTTAGAACATATTTATTTATTTATTTATTAGTAAATGTATATTAACTATTCTTTTATTGATATATGACCAAATTTTCAATAATATGCTTATATAGGCCTACTTAACATTTAGTCATATCTTTTCTTTGACCAAATTTGGAGAAAACCTTTCATCCCACATTAGAATAGATCTTTTCTCATCCTTACTGGAGAAGGACCTACAATTTCATGATCAAAACAAAACTGGGGATTTAGTTACAAGGTATTTTTATAAAATGTGTTAGATGACTCATTTTTATAAATTTAAATGACTAATTTAAAAAATATAAATGTGGCGATTTTTTTAAGATTGCATAAGGAAACTCATATTAGTGATGCATTAATTTTGTTTTACCATACTTAAGGGCTGATATAAAGATATTTTATTATTGTAAAGAAATATTTATTTATAAAAAAAGACAAACTTGTATTTGTCATTTTGCTCATGATTTAGCAATTTTAATTTTGATTTAAATGTGCCATCTGGTGGAAAATATTTATATATAAGGAATTAAAATGAAAACTTAATATAAACAAACCAAAAGAATGAGTTAAATAAATTTTAAAATAATTATCAAAATAATTTTATTTATATTGAATTTTCATAGGTAAATTGCAAAGTAAAATAAATCAGACTTTATATATATATATATATACTGTATCTAGATATAAAAATGTATCTGTTTCATATTTTTATTGGTATATTTTGATATCATTTAATTATATGTTTTTTTTAAATAAATATCTGTCCAAATTTATTTTTTTTCCTACCAGTTGTATCCAGTATCTAAGATACATATTATTTAAAAGTATTTGTATCTTAACCAACTTTGTATTCAAAAAGATACAGATACTTTAAAAAAAATTATATTAGTTAATTTAAATAGTATTAAAATTTAAAATGATATTGTTTTAAAATTTAAATGAAAAATTTAATCAGAAATTAGGTATTTTAAGGTAATGTATGATATACAACATTGGTCGTCATATAGCAATTTGCTAACAATTATAACTACCATATTTTATTTGAATCGTTTTATATCCGTCTATTAAAGAAAATAGAATAATATGTTTATCTTTGTCTTCAAATGATTCTCCAACCAAAAAATATAACTATAAATTTAAATTAAGTATTTTAAATGGGAAATTTTTTCAAGTACTTCAACATGATCATAATAAAATTACTACAGAATCTAAAGAATGCCACAAATCTATAAGTGGTTCTGCAGACTCGTCATAAAATTTTCTCAAGCATCTAAAAAGTATAATATATAATTATATAATAAATCACATTTATAATCATATTCATTATCATTTCATATTCCATATATAACTGTTGCTAAATTTAGAAGTATTTTAAAATAAATTTTTATATTATTGATTGATATTGAAATTAAAATGATATACAAAAAATCTATCAAAAGAATAAGAAAACTAATGTTGATAAAAAAGAGTTGTTAATTTGAATACTAGGCCAAAATATAATCCAAATTTTTGGGGCATCATTTTTATATGATAAATAGTACTTAGCAATATTTAATCCACCTTTATTTTTTTTTAATTTTTACATATATGCTTAAAATATAATTTTCTTTATAAAATTAATTAAAAGAAATATTTATTAAATATAACACAATATTACCCTCCTCTGCCCCCGTTGAACGATTATTTATAGCTTTGCTAATATAGTTAACAAACCAAATCGTCAAACATTGAACGATAAATTATTTGAAAAATTAATAATATTAAAAAACAATGCCGATTTATGATGCTGATATATTAATATAATAATTATACAATTATTTAAAAAAATATCGCATTATCTTATATAATAAATTTGTTATTTTCTACAATTTATTTTCAAATTTTTTATAAATTTATATTATAGATAAAAAAAATAAAGCTTTATACATTTTGATTTTGACTATTTAAAGTTTTTTAAAAAAAGTATCTTGTATCTTAGATACTTTTTTTAAAAAAAGATACAAGTATCTTGTATCTTATATCTTATTGAAATTTTTCCAAAGTATCCTGTATCTTAAATACAAAGTATCTGTATCCGAATACAATTTTCTGAAAATTTGCCCAACCCTGCAGATTGGATATGGTTTCAAATTCCGAAATTTAAATTAGAAAAGTATATCAACCTAGTAATAATCAAACTTCCAAAGTTTGCAGAATATACTTAATTTTATGGAAAAAAAAATTAAATGATATATTATTATGACACCTATCAAACTTTGAATAATTATCCTAAAAATGAGTGTCATGGTTTTATCTAAAGGTTATCCTAATATAAAGATGTTATTCATCAAGTTTAACATTACACTACTTTACAGCAATACCAATTGAAATCAGAGTTTCAATAAAATTCCTTCAAATTTTTTTTTCGCCCATAAGTTTTAAAACAAAAATTGTAATTATATTATGAAAGTTTTTTTATGCATAAAAATGGCAAAAGATTTACTTATATAAAAGACTTTTTTACAAAGTGATTTGGAATTTTAGGAATTGCATAGAAAAATATCTTGTTTGAACATTTTCAATAAAGTTTTCATTTTAAAAAAATTCTTTCTTTCCCTCTTCTCTTTCAGGAATAAAAAAAAATCTAAAAAAGAGTGTTTAAAAGGGTATATATATACACCAGGAAATAACCTATAAAATAGCAAGCTGAATAAACAGTGTTTGGTTTTAATTTCACAGTTTGTGTTTTAAGTTTAACACAAAAATTAAGAATTCTATTTTGGCATTATGCGCACCTTCATGATTATATATATATATATATAAATGTATCTTAAAATTAAGAAAATTGTAGTATATGAATACATTTATAAGCCATGTATCTGTATTTAGAACATATGGAAGTAGAACTCTGCTCATATTAAAATGAAAATTATACAGTTCGTATATCTAGGAATTGCCTTTAACATGGTTAGTATATTTTTTATGTATAATCATCTTGGAGTATTAATAAAACTTGAAAATAATTTATCAATCAGAAAAACATTTTAAGGAAGAGTCATAATCATCAAATATTTATAATTTTATGAAGTTATATACTTAATATAATAAATTTATTTATCTAACTGATTAAATATATTAAGATATCAAATATTAAAATTTATTTAAAATTAAAATATTTATTGCAATAAAAATAAATCTTATTTTTTTTATCGATCAAACTCATCTGTATTATTAAGCGGTTTCTTGGGTATCGGTCCCATCCATTTGTCTTTGTTTTGTCATTATACCATTTCGCGACAATATTTCGAAAAATTTTTCACATTTTTCTAGAAAATTGTAAAATAAAGACAATATTCTAAAATAGGGCTCTGCCGATCCACATATTTTTCATCTATCATATTACGATATTGACTCAAAAAACCGATCCGATATTTATATTGATTTTTCACTACCCCCCCCCCCCCCATTTGAAATCAAATGTAATTAAGAAATCAATATTTTTTATGCAAAAAATCGAATTTTTTTTCGGATATTGGTAGTATTAAATTAATTTTTGATTATTCCTCCCCGTGAAATTAGAATTTCGAAGATAACGTATTTTGCAAAATTACTTTTTGTAAAATATTTCCATAATTCAGATATCATATTTAGAAAAAAAATTCTTTCATTTATAGTATAAATAATACAATTGGCTTTATTATTTAAAAAGATTTTAATAAATAAATCTTTGGGTGTTCCTTTCTATTTTTATATAAAAAAAATTTAAAGTGTGTTGTGCATTAGCATTGATTAAAAAAAAATTATTTAGAAAACATTATAATAAATGTAAAAATAGATATACATAAAATAAAATAACAAAAAAGATCGGATCGGTTTTTTCAGGTATCGGCCCGATCCGATATTTTTAGAAAGCTCTAAATATCGGTGCCGATTCGATATTTAATATTGGCACAGCTTTCTCAACTTATTAGCAAGTATTTGTCAAGGCAAAGGTAATTGGTTTTAATTAAAAAAATTACATACATACAATATTAGCAATATTCTCAACTTAGTATTAGCAAGTACTTGTCTGAAACCTTAAAGGCAAAGGTAATTGGTTTTAATTAAAATATTTTACATAATTAATATTTACATAAAATTTTTAATTCAATAATGTAATTGTGATAATCTCAAACAAATAATGATACCATTTTCATACAGAAAGTCTAAAGATTATTAAAAAATAAAATATATTATATTTGTACATCTCCAACCTGCCCTGGGAAAGGTTATACATTGAATAACGTATTTACTATGACAGCTGAATGCATTGGTAAACATTCCCCACGTCACTCTCCGTGCGTTGTGCGGGACTGATCACAGAAGGCACGTAGGTCTCTTGATTCCTTGCTAATAATACTTAAAGAAAAATATATTACCAAAACTTTGATTAACTATGGATAATATTTCATATTTCTCTTCATGCATTCAAATGTTTTGCAAATATCTAAAAAAAATGGTAAATAACATCTTGCTTATTAAATAATTTACCGATGCATTCTTCTGTCGTAGTGAATACGTTATTTAATGTAGTGTTGTTAAACTACCCAACTTATAAAACAGTGTAGCCATGTATTGAATCAAAAATCTTCAAGTTGAGACTCATAAGCTTGATTTCATTTTTTTAGGCTAAGCTTGATAAAACCTCAATAGATGGTCAAAGTTAGGTATTTAACAACACTAATTTAATGTATAACCTTTTCCAGAGCAGGTTGGAGATGTACAAATATAATATATTTTATTTACCTTTGCCTTTAAAGGTTTCAGATAAATATTGCTAATATTGTGTGGATAACTTTATTTTACAATTTTCTAGAAAAATATATATATATATGTAAATGTTAATTATGTAATTTGTTTGAATTAAAACCAATTACCTTTGCCTTTAAGGTTCAGACAAATACTTGCTAATGTTGTATGGATAATTTTATTTTACAATTTTCTAGTAAAATGTAGAATATATGAAAAAAAAATCGAAATATGGTCGCGAAATGGTATAATGACAAAACAAAGACAAATGGATGGGACCGATACCACAAAATAGGTTTGATATGATTGGACAGTCTCTGACAATATTTTTTTTGCCGATTCGATCCAAAACAAATATTTGATTGGCATATTCTGATGTCTCTTAAATAAAATAGCCATCAATCTTTTTGCCAATTCTATATAAAATTTATAACAATTTAACAAATTTAGACCTGAGCTCGGGTCTAACAATTTCGAAATATTTTTTTGACATAATTTTAAATGGCATTTAGAATTTGTCCGCGATTAAGAACAATGCAAATTAGGGATTTTTACTTCGTTTATTTTTGATTTATTTATATCGCTCTCATCACAATAATCTGCCAATGCAAATATTTTGCTGGTAATTTTTGATTGACGACGCGGTTACCGTTCTATATTCTACTTCCGGTAATTATCTGCTCGAAACTGTTCCCGTAAATTCTAAAATGGGTTCCAGTTTTTGTTTCCTCTATAAATTTTAAAAAAGGGTATGGTTCCTATATTTGTTCCGTTTCTGTGAGCCCCCAGGTTCTTTTATCTAGATGCCTTTAGGGTGTATCTAGATACTTTTTTGAGTGTTGCATCTATTTTTAAATGGTCACCCACATTTAGATACATTTGGTCTTTTGATAAGTCTGGTTGATTGTGTTACTGGGCATTAAAAAGAAAATTATTTAGGCCGCTGTTAACTATTGAGAATTATAGAAAAAAAATTTAGAGCTTGTAACGTCAATCTTTTACAATTTTTTTATTAGACTCACAACAGACCTTCAAGACCTGAAGTCGGCTCTCAAGCAATGCCTCTCCATAACGCTCAAGGCTGGAGTCACGGGATTGGGCACGCTGTACGCCCTTTACAGGATATCGCCCGATATGACCCTGGGCGTCATGATTATAACGCCTTCGTTAGTTCTCGTTGGAGCCTTCCTCGCTCAGGGGCTCAGAAAATTGTCCAAGACCTGCCGGGATAAGGTATTTATAGATACGATAAATAATATATTCGTAGATTGCTTATCAATGGTAATATTTTGTTTTTCCACGACTTCACAAACTCCTCGACATAAAAAAGATTTCAAAGATTTTTAATCTCTTTAGATCAAACAAAATAAGCCAGAAGTTGTATTTGAAGATATTTCCTTTTAAGAAAACCCTGGTTTGTAATTATAGCATAATTTTTTGAATTTAGTATTTTATTATAAAAACAATAGAGATAGCTATTTATCTTCTATAACAATATAGCGCTAAATCCCACCCACCACCCCCCCCCCTCTCTTTAAAAAAACTGGCAGAAGTCTCAACTTTTTTTAATATTTGGTATTTTCCTACATTCCTCCGGGAAATTTATCACGTCAACCTTTTGCATTTGTTGAAAAAAACCAATCCTGGCTTTTCTCGGGCTCTTGACTTAATGTGCATTTGAAGTCAGATAGATTATTCCCTTCTGCCGAGATATAAATCGCTGGCAGCTGTCATTTCATTTTTTAAATTTTCGCGAAATACAAAACTAGTTAAGCAATCATAAACTGTTTAACCTGTTACCCAAAGGAACAGTCATCTGATTTAAAAGCAACGCGCTACTTTGTTACTCTCAAAAAATGGTGATTAGTACGATTTTTTTTTAGCCGCTCTCATATGAGTCGAAAAAATCTTCACAAATTATTTTTGAGCAAAAATCTTTGAAAATTTTTTTTAGGGAAGAAAATTTTTGAAGAATATTTTTTCAAAACATTTTTAGAACCATTTAAGTATCTTATAAAAATAAATTTAATAGTTTAATTAAATTATTGATCAATTCGAATATTGAATATAAATTTAATTTTAATAATCAATAATTCTATAACTACTATAGACATCAAGTAATTTATAAAAATTTTATGTTTTGACTATGTATAGCTATCCATCCTGGCGGCTACATCTAACGAGGTGTTGGCTAACGTTAGAACGGTTAAATCATTCGTGGGCGAGCGACGGGAAGCGGAAAACTTTGAGGTTTTGGCGCGCGAGTATGCCGATTCTTGCAATCAACTGGGATTAGGTATATCTCTCTTCCAGGGTCTCTCTAATCTAACGCTAAACGGGCTCGTTTTGCTCACGGTCAGTTATGGCGGGACTTTGCTATTGGTGCATTTTATTTTAAATTACGTATACACGTTACTATTATCGAATTAGGGGCTGTGCCGAACATTAAATATCGGATCGGGCCCGATAATTTCCTCGCTTTTTTAAACCTGGGTTTTACCGATAATTTTAAAACCCGGGTCGAGAATTTAAAAACCGGGTTTTACCGATAATTTTAAAACCCGGGTCGAGAATTTAAAAACCGGGTTTGACCGATAATTATAAAAAAACTGATCCGATTTGATATTTTCGTAGTTTTTTGACGTTTAATATAAATTATTTTTTATTACCTAATTTCTTTATAATAATATTAAAAAAATAGATTAACGGAAATAATATTATTTGTATAATTTTTTTTTTTATTTATTCAAATTAATATTCTTTATTTATATTTAAACAATAAATATTAAATTAACATTTAAACGATTTTTAAAAAAACGTTTTTTTTAAATTGTTTTTTATTTAAAAAAAAAAATGGCGGTTTCGATTTAAAAAAAAAGATTAATTACAAATAATACGAACAATATCAAATTAAAAAAAATATTTTTTTAAAAAATAAACAACAAATAAGAATATATTAAAGATTTATATTAAAAATTAAAATGAAATGAAAAACATTAAAAAGGAACTTAAAAATAAAAAATATTAACCCGTTACTGGTTAACGGTGCATATATGCACCACCTCCTATATACCTTATTTTAACATAGTAGTTTTTTTTTAAAAAATAATAAAAAAGATTTTTATATAGTTCAGACATTGTACTTCAAAACTGGAAAAGAAAAATATGAAAAAAATATTTTTTTATGCCCCTAAGAAACCCTCAAACTTTGCGAATTTATGGGGTCTAAAATGCAAAATTTTCTAAGTGATCTCACGAGCATATTATAAAATTATTTCGATGAAAACTAGTGTGTATATATTCTTTATAGATATATCAAATATTTATCAATCATTTTTGAATTTTTAAATAATTAATATTTTAGTAGGTAACCACATAAAGTTGACTGGTGCATATATGCACCGTTAACCATCTAGCAGTATATATTATTTAAAAAAATTCAAACAAATGAAATTTAACATAATGAATTATAATTTTTTATATTATACTTAAAACCACTACCGTCACTAAGGGTGGGAAGGGGAGGGGTGGGTGGCTCGAGCCCCTTAAGAATTTTTAAAAAAATTTTATACCCAAAAAAGACCTTTTAAAAATAATTTAAAAAAATTTTTTCCCCTGAGATTAAATCGAATAATATATTGTTCCTATTATAATTTTTTATCCCGATCAAATTATATGAAATTATTAGGTTCATAAATATTCAAAAGTTTAAAATTATTTTTAGCCTCTTCCTTTCTGAAGATTTTATTTATATAAAATATTATGCACCTGTTTTGTCAATTCAATCAAAATTATCAAAATAATAGATGACTAATAAAAAAATCAAGATTCTACGAAAATAATTTGTCTAGAATATTTAATTTTTAATAAATTTTTTTAATGAAACGTTTTCTAACAATTGAACAAGCGCTTGCTCAACTTTTTGAAGAGGAACCAATTGAAGAAAGAGATATGGTTATAATTCCGCCAAACCCCTCTGCAGTTAGTGATGAAGAAGATTTCGATGAAAATGACTTAACAAATGTCGGAGTTTTGCCTTCAGATACAGCTGGAGAATTGGAGATTCATAATTCAGTTGATGACGACCTTCCAGAACCATATTCTACAAGAAGCTATTCTCGAATTTCTCACAATTTAAAATGGAGAAAAACGGATGCAATATATTCTTCAAGCCTTTTCAATGGAGAAAAGGAAGATGTAATAAAACTTGAAAATGATTTACATGGTAAAAGTCCATCAGATATATTTTGTTTAATTTTCGACGAAGACTTATATTCCCTAATTGTAGAACAAAGTAATATTTATGCTAAACAAATGAATAGACCTAACATATGCATAACCATCCAAGATATTCAGAGATTTATTGGAATTCTATTATTTACTGGATAATTCATTCTCTCCCACAAGAAAGAATGTACTGGTCTAATGACAGCGATATTTCTATTCCAATAATCCGGGATACAATGACCCAATTACAATTTCGAAATTTGAAATATAATATCTTTCATATTTGTAATTTAAAAAGAATATTCATCTTTTATAAATTGAATAAAAGAATCTAATAATTATTGAAATTTTATTTAATTTAACATATATATTTTATTGGAATAAGAGTATCGCCTCTGATAGCGATACTCTGAGTTAAAATTTTGTTAACTTTCTCTTTATATTTTTTTTATTATTATAAAATTAAATTATCCAAAGTTTTTATATCATGAAAAAGTGATCTTTACAATTTCGTTAATGCAATAAATATCATCATTTACATAAAAATTAATACATCTGTTAAAATAAATCACTTTATCAAATAAAATATACATTAAAAAAGTGTACATTACAACAGCATTTCTTTATTCTTATTCGTGAGACGAATCAAACGGCGTCATCCTATGGACATAAAGCCGCATTTCTTAATTCTTATTTAAAAAAGTCGATCAAGATAATTTATTTTAGGCGAAAATTTTATAGACACCAAAATAAGCGGAATGTTTAAATATATAGTTTGGAGCAAATGAAAAACGTCAGATGTGTATTTATATTTCGTATATTATTGGTCATATATTATCAATCACCCCTAACACTTGGGTTTAGTAATGGGTGGCGTGTTGTAATGTACACTTTTTTAATGTATATTTTATTTGATAAAGTGATTTATTTTAACAGATGTATTAATTTTTATGTAAATGATGATATTTATTGCATTAACGAAATTGTAAAGATCACTTTCATGATATAAAAACTTTGGATAATTTAATTTTATAATAATAAAAAAAATATAAAGAGAAAGTTAACAAAATTTTAACTCAGAGTATCGCTATCAGAGGCGATACTCTTATTCCAATAAAATATATATGTTAAATTAAATAAAATTTCAATAATTATTAGATTCTTTTATTCAATTTATAAAAGATGAATATTCTTTTTAAATTACAAATATGAAAATATCCATTTGGCAGACAATACTACTAAAATAGATATACATGATAGATTTTATAAAGTTAGGCCTTACATTAATATATTGAATAATAAATTTCAGCAATTCGGAATTTTTAAACATCTTTTATCAATAGATGAACAGATGATACCATATCGAGGAAGACATTCTTGCAAAATGTTCATAAAAGGAAAACCAATTAGATTCGGATACAAGTCTTGGATATTGGCCTCTTCCGACGGTTACGTATTCTCATTTGATATATATCAAGGAAAAAGCGAAAATAAATATGAATATGGATTAGGTGGAAATGTAATCATAAAATTATTAAAGGCATTGCAAAAACCAAATTATCATAAAATATATTTTGATAATTTCTTTACATCATTTAAACTCTTGTCATACTTAAAACAAATGGGATATTTTGCAACTGGAACTGTGAGGGACAATAGAATAGAGCATTGCCCAGTTGAATCTATAAAGGTTGTAGCAAAAAAAGAAAGAGGATATTATGATTATAGGTTTGAAAAATTAAACGAAATATTTGTAGTTCGTTGGAATGATAATTTCGGTGGTGACCGTTGCATCGACATGCCACACTATCTCTTTGCTTTCTAATGTTTCAAGGTATTCTAAGAAAATATCTTCTAAAATAAAAATTCCTCAGCCAAATATGGTAACTGCTTATAACAAACACATGGGTGGAGTTGATCTATGTGATAATCTAATATCTACATATAGAATAAAAATAAGAGGAAAAAAATGGTGGTGGCCAATATTCACCAATTTTATTGATGTAGCTTTGGTAAATTCATGGAAAATCTGGAAATTCGTGAATCGAGATGACAAGAAGAGTTTGCTTGCATTTAGACGAGAAGTTACTAACTACCTCCTTCGAACGCCAGTAAAAATTGAAAAAAATTCAAGTACAGGTCACGCCAGCCAGTTTGCATTACAGTGTGAAAACCCTATTGATTCATCTGGACATTATTTATCCAAAATTATAGATGGAAAAAGACGAAGATGCAGATATTGCCATACGCACTCAAGATATATGTGCCAAACATGTCAAATCGCACTCCATATTAAATGTTTCAAGGATTTTCATAATATATAAACATTTTCTCGTTTTTATTATAAATTACAAAAAAAGAATAAAGATATTTGTTGTTTTTTTGATCTTATAGTATTTTATATAATTTTTATCTTTTTTAACCTCTTAATGGTTAACGGTGCATATATGCACCAGGCTAGATTTTCTATTTAGGATTATTTTTTTTGGCTGATTTTTTTAGAATATCATATTTGAGCATTAATCAATATAATTTGAAAAAATTGAGCATTTTTATCCACTAGAAAAATCTTGACCATTAATGGGTTAAATATAGGTACATGTCACCTTAGTGAAGAGTGAATGCTTAGAAAAATTGAACCTTCAGATTTCGAGAGAATTCTGCTAATGAAGGTAGAATCCTTCTTTGGGGTCCCCTAACATCTGTCTCATTTTTTTTCCTATGGTTTTTAACGAAATTAAGGGCCTCATTTCCGAAAATGCCTTAGGGTATTGGTATGAATGAACACTGCGTATAATTGTAAATAAAAATATCTAAAAAGTATCTAAAAAAAGATACTATTTTTTTCAAAAAAAAGCATTTTTTAAAAACTTTCCTTATTTAAAGAGTCGGAGATCGGCCATGACCATTGCCCCTATTTTTGTGGAGGCGGAGCGAAAAATTTTAAAAATGTTCCTCGTGTTTAGCGCTCATAGTTTTTTTGCGAATATGTTGTCCTTTCAAAGTTAGAGGGCAAATAAAAAATTAATCGAAATATCGGTTTCTTATGAGTATCGGATCGATTATAGATTTATTGGTCAGCACGGCCTCTATGTGTTTAATGTTTTGAAGTTCTTAGAGTGAATCCAGGTTGGACTCATTACTAAAATAGCCCTTAAAAGTAAGAGAAGAAGAAAAAAAGACAAACAAGAACAAACAATGCCATCAAACACTTCAAAAGTTAAAACAAACCATTATTTGGTGTCTACTTCGAAAGCCGCTTAACCCATTAATGGTCAAGATTTTTCTAGTGGATAAAAATGCTCAATTTTTCAAATTATATTGATTAATGCTCAAATATGATATTCTAAAAAAATCAGCCAAAAAAATAATCCTAAATAGAAAATCTAGCCTGGTGCATTATATGCACCGTTAACCATTAAGAGGTTAAAATAGATAAAAATTATATAAAATACTATAAGATCAAAAAAACAACAAATATCTTTATTCTTTTTTTGTAATTTATAATAAAAACGAGAAAATGTTTATATATTATGAAAATCCTTGAAACATTTAATATGGAGTGCGATTTGACATGTTTGGCACATATATCCTGAGTGCGTATGGCAATATCTGCATCTTCGTCTTTTTCCATCTATAATTTTGGATAAATAATGTCCAGATGAATCAATAGGGTTTTCACACTGTAATGCAAACTGGCTGGCGTGACCTGTACTTAAATTTTTTTCAATTTTTACTGGCGTTCGAAGGAGGTAGTTAGTAACTTCTCGTCTAAATGCAAGCAAACTCTTCTTGTCATCTCGATTCACGAATTTCCAGATTTTCCATGAATTTACCAAAGCTACATCAATAAAATTGGTGAATATTGGCCACCACCATTTTTTTCCTCTTATTTTTATTCTATATGTAGATATTAGATTATCACATAGATCAACTCCACACATGTGTTTGTTATAAGAGCAGTTACCATATTTGGCTAAGGAATTTTTATTTTAGAAGATATTTTCTTAGAATACCTTGAAACATTAGAAAGCAAAGAGATAGTGGCATGTCGATGCAACGGTCACCACCGAATTATCATTCCAACGAACTACAAATATTTCGTTTAATTTTTCAAACCTATAATCATAATATCCTCTTTCTTTTTTTGCTACAACCTTTATAGATACAACTGGGCAATGCTCTATTCTATTGTCCCTCACAGTTCCAGTTGCAAAATATCCCATTTGTTTTAAGTATGACAAGAGTTTAAATGATGTAAAGAAATTATCAAAATATATTTTATGATAATTTGGTTTTTGCAATGCCTTTAATAATTTTATGAATACATTTCCACCTAATCCATATTCATATTTATTTTCGCTTTTTCCTTGATATATATCAAATGAGATGACGTAACCGTCGGAAGAGGCCAATATCCAAGACTTGTATCCGAATCTAATTGGTTTTCCTTTTATGAACATTTTGCAAGAATGTCTTCCTCGATATGGTATCATCTGTTCATCTATTGATAAATGATATGATGTTTAAAAATTCCGAATTGCTGAAATTTATTATTCAATATATTAATGTAAGGCCTAACTTTATAAAATCTATCATGTATATCTATTTTAGTATTGTCTGCCAAATGGATATTATATTTCAAATTTCGAAATTGTAATTGGGTCATTGTATCCCGGATTATTGGAATAGAAATATCGCTGTCATTAGACCAGTACATTCTTTCTTGTGGGAGAGAATGATATCCAGTAAATAATAGAATTCCAATAAATCTCTGAATATCTTGGATGGTTATGCATATGTTAGGTCTATTCATTTGTTTAGCATAAATATTACTTTGTTCTACAATTAGGGAATATAAGTCTTCGTCGAAAATTAAAGAAAATATATCTGATGGACTTTTACCATGTAAATCATTTTCAAGTTTTATTACATCTTCCTTTTCTCCATTGAAAAGGCTTGAAGAATATATTGCATCCGTTTTTCTCCATTTTAAATTGTGAGAAATTCGAGAATAGCTTCTTGTAGAATATGGTTCTGGAAGGTCGTCATCAACTGAATTATGAATCTCCAATTTTTACCAGCTGTATCTGAAGGCAAAACTCCGACATTTGTTAAGTCATTTTCATCGAAATCTTCTTCATCACTAACTGCAGAGGGGTTTGGCGGAATTATAACCATATCTCTTTCTTTAATTGGTTCCTCTTCAAAAAGTTGAGCAAGCGCTTGTTCAATTGTTAGAAAACGTTTCATTAAAAAAATTTATTAAAAATTAAATATCTAGACAAATTATTTTCGTAGAATCTTGATTTTTTTATTAGTCATCTATTATTTTGATAATTTTGATTGAATTGACAAAACAGGTGCATAATATTTTATATAAATAAAATAAAATCTTCAGAAAGGAAGAGGCTAAAAATAATTTTAAACTTTTGAATATTTATGAACCTAATAATTTCATATAATTTGATCGGGATAAAAAATTATAATAGGAACAATATATTATTCGATTTAATCTCAGGGGAAAAAAATTTTTTTAAATTATTTTCAAAAGGTCTTTTTTGGGTATAAAATTTTTTTAAAAAAATTCTTAGGGGGCTAGAGCCACCCACCCCACCCCCTACCCACCCTTAGTGACGGGTAGTGGTTTTAAGTATAATATAAAAAATTATAATTCCTTATGTTAAATTTCATTTGTTTGAATTTTTTTAAATAATATATACTGCTAGATGGTTAACGGTGCATATATGCACCAGTCAACTTTATGTGGTTACCTATTAAAATATTAATTATTTAAAAATTCAAAAATGATTGATAAATATTGATATATCTATAAAGAATATATACACACTAGTTTTCATCGAAATAATTTTATAATATGCTCGTGAGATCACTTAGAAAATTTTGCATTTTAGACCTCATAAATTCGCAAAATTTGGGGGTTTCTTAGGGACATAAAAAATATTTTTTTCATATTTTTCTTTTCCAGTTTTGAAGTACAATGTCTGAACTATATAAAAATCTTATTTATTATTTTTTAAAATAAAAACTACTATGTTAAAATAAGGTATATAGGAGGTGGTGCTTATATGCACCGTTAACCATTAACGGGTTCATAGGATAAACAGAAATAAGTATATAATAAGTCGAACCATTGCACACACCCTTAATCCCTATTTTCCCTGATTTTTTTTGAAAATAATACACATTGAAAGAAAGAGAGAACGGGATAGTAGGAAAAGAAAATTTCTAAAATCTTTGATATATTTCATTTTACCCGTTTCTTCTGTTAAAATATAAACAACACGTAGCTAAATCCATCACCAAACAGCTCCAGTTCTTTATCGGCCGGGGTACTTATGGCCTTTCTCATGGGCGTTCAATCCATCCAAAAATGCTTGGCCCAACTTTCTACCCTTACCGACAAATACTCTAAACTCGTTTCGTCTAAAGGCAGGGTATTCGAACACCTTACCCATCATTATAGCGATATCCGTGCTTTAGAAAGTATCAATTTTCTTTCAATTCTTTGTTTTATTATTTTTTTTGCTAAGAAACGTATTTTTTAACGATGTTTTTTCGATGAACCATAAATTTTTTAAAACTCTAAAATGTGGGGAGTCGTTATAATCGAAACGGGGTTTGACAGAGATACATGTGTCAATTTTTTGTTGCCATTTTAGCGATAAAGGACGATAAAAAAAATTATAAATACTAATTAATTTTAGGTAAAAAAATAATACGCGAATAAACTCGGCACCCTTTAGATGTTGAAGATTTTACTACTCATTTCCATTTAATCGGACTATTTTAAATATGGGTTAACTTTATAATGTAAGGAGCCCTCAACACGTTTGTGGGGACCATTCGCGCATGCGTATACGCATAATAAACCAAAGACTATTATGCGTATGTCCGTAGGCTGAGTGCAAGGGAGGCAGGACAAAGATAACAGCCTACACCCTATAATTTTCATAAATTTAATTAACTTTAAAGGGGGACGGGGGTTATAGATATTGTTGAGATCTCTCAGGAGGATTAAGAGTGTAAAAAACACTTTTCTCCTTTTAGATTTGCCTATTACTTTGAGAATTTTTTGTGGTTGTTGAAGTATATCTGCCTTTAATCTGGAGTTATTTTTGTATGCATCATCGATTTAATTTTCTCTTCATGTTTTTATCAATGTCGTGCGCTTTCTTATTTATGTAGGTACGTCTATCACTACATAATTAATTATCTTTGTATAGTTTTCCCAGAAATCATTATTAAAAACCAACATTAGCTCTAAGTTGATTTATCTTTTGTAACGTCTCCCTTGACATCCATACGTTCCCTGAAAAGCTGTTTTGGTTTGGCACGTTATTCTACGATTCTGATAAATCCCCCTTAAATGTTTCCAGCATTCCTCTACAGTTCCAAGTTCCGTCATGTTTTATGAACTATTTTCCTATTAGTGCTTTATCTAATTGTCTTTAACCTCGGGCATTTGTACTAAGATCTCTGCATGTAAATTGAACTGCCGGTTGATTTGTCATTTGGCCAGTAGAATTTTGGGATGATGTTTCATCACCCCTATTTTTGCTATAAGCATTTTGTGATAACATTTAATATTTGCTATTGCTTTGACGTCATTGAACCACCTATGGATGTTGGAGATAAAGAAGTCGATTTTTGAGGTTTCTCGCGGGCTCTCTAGAAGGTATATGCGTTAATTTCGTAATTGGTTAAAGAACGTATTTTCGATTTTAAAGTGTTTTTATTTCAACAAAAGTTCCGAATTTTCCTGATCTCATCACTATTTAGGTTGTTGTAAATTAGTATATAGGCAATGATATTCCTGCTAACGAATTCTGCCTTCCCAATTTTGGTGGTTGGGTCTCCTATCATTATTAATATTATATCTATTTGGGTAGAGAGTTTAATGATATTTATCAGTTGTTTTAATGGAAAATCAAACTATCTCTTCTTTTTGCTATTATAGTAAGAGTAAAACAATTCACATCTTTTGGATATGCATATGAATGGCGATCAATTTTTTCTGCTCGTTTATTTATGAGAAATGCGATCCCACCAGCTATCGAAAGATAGGTGGTTATAATATTTCCTCTGACAGCACTGGGTTTCCTGAGTTCTAATGATGTCAACTTTGTCCTCTTCTAAAATCCTTAGAAAGACTGCTATTTTTTTTGATTCCATTGATATCCTTAGATATTCATTTTAAAAAACCAAATGCGCCATCTAGCGAGATATATATCATAGAATTTTTCTTAACAAAATATAGTACACATCTTTTACATTTGACAATACTACTTTTAACTTATATTCTTTATTTTTTTAAATTCTATATATCAAAATATTCCCCATATATAATTTTCGTTTTTGCAATTTATCTTTCAAAAAAAAATCAATAATATTTATCTCCATTTTATAAAATCCCCAACTGAATCAAATATCAAATTAACATCAAATTAAAATAATTTCCATCTCATAAATGTTTTTCTTTTCATTTCGATAAAACAAGAATAATTCAATTTTTCTCGCATAATATATTTATCAAAAGTAAAAAAATAAACAAATAAACAAAAAGAAATACCAAGTGTTTGAATTATCAATTCTCGATAAAATAACTAATAAATAAAATATATTCTTTTTGATTGTTATAATATATATGTACAAATATATATCATAATACTAATACAAAACTACAACACGCCCACCCTTCATAACCAGCCCACGCCAGGCTTAATTATTTCCTCGTCATTTATCAAATCTTATCGTTGAACATCATCTTCTTTCGACATGCGGATTATAACAATTAATATATTTTGTTTATTTTATAATACATATAATGAACCACAAAAAAATATTAAGACATGTCATATAGCAAAAATACAAAATTACAATATATATATAATGCCACCACAATCATATTTTTTATGTTACAAAAAAAAAATACAAAGTTTAAAATCTTTTATTGTCCACCGACTTTTATTTAAGAATTTTTTTCTTTATCACATGATATTAAAAAAAATTTTAATTTTACATTGTTTCACAACAATGTCTCTTTAAATTTAAAAAAAATACATTTATACCACATGGTATTATTCACATGAATTTATTAAAGTCAAGTTTTTATTTTATTGATAACAATTTAATTCTTAAATTAAAATATTCTTCTCTATTGCTTAAAATTAATAATATTTTTCTTCCCTGTTATTTATATTAAAACTTTTATTACAATATATTATCACTTTTAATTATGCTTTACTCAATTTTATATGGTTTCACATTTTTATTCATTATCCATAAATTCAAAAATATAGGAACATCATGGAAAATAACATCCCACTGAGTCCCAAAACTTTGATTTCAGATACATCAAATTGTTGTATACATATATTTTGTCTCTCAACAATACCATTTGGCCAATATTTATAAAAATTTCACTAGACATTATTGAAATACTTGCCCCGGTATTAAATAACATTTCAACCATTTGTCCACCAAATTTTAAATTAATATGAGGACATGAACTCTGTTCCTTTGTTCCCTCAGTTATTACATTTTTAGGCAATTTAATCGGTTGAATGGTATTTATTTTCACCTCTTTTTCAATACAATTAATATTCATACCTAAATTCATCTCAGAATTTAAAGGTCTCTGAATCTCATTTATGTTTTTATTAAAAATCTCTCCTGGATATTTCTCACTTGTTTGATTACAATAATCCTTTTTATTCAGATTATTGGTTAATTTAAAATGTTTTATTTCATCAAAATGACAATAAAAATTTCCTACATTAAAACTCTTTTTATTCAAGTTAAATTTCAATGTATAATCATCATACCCATAATTATCAATTTTATTATATATATCCACAAAATTTTTAATAAAACTAAATATATCAAATTATTCTCTAAATATGATTTTTCTATTTTTATATGACTCTTTCAAATCATATAGTCACTGGGACCCACTCACATTTTGAATACAATGTATAGCAATGTGTTCCATTTCTTCACATTTGAAACACATTCTATCATGGTCTGTATTATAAGTTTTAATTTCATCCACATTTATAATCTGAGGATTTTGTATACTTCGAACCACTGGATTTATCACTACCGATGTTCTTTGCGGAAATCCACTTTTGAAATTGGCTTCTTTTACCATGCAATTTCTTTTTATATGTCCTACAAAACAACATCTATGACACACTATGTCATTTTTTCCACTTGGTTTTGCCGTCACATTCTCATTATTTTTTCTGTCTCTTGAATAGCAATTTTTACCAATAGTCCTTTTCTTCCACAAAGTTCACAACATTCAATTATATTATTATTATTATTAATTTTTAAGTTGGAAACATCTCTGGACAAATTTTTCATATTTTCTTTCATTTCTCTAATTTCACGTAAAATTAGAGATTCCTCTGCACTTTGTCTCAAAGTATTATTGTTATTATTTTTATTATGGTTTTTCAAAATTTCTATAGGTTTCTCAATCAAAACCTCAGAAATTTTCCCTTTAAATTCAAACACAATTGAATTTAATTTTTTATTGATATCCTCCGATATGTCAATATTTTTATAAAAATTAAATACTTTCTCCGTATCTAAATATTTGAATTTAATTTTTTATCGATATCCTCCGATATGTCAATATTTTGAGGAACATTAAATACTTCACCAGTATCTAAATATTTCTCATATTTGTCTTCAACATTTTTTTTACCATTTAAATTTTTTAATTCTAACAAAATTAAATGTAAACTATTTCTGATATCCTCAGAAATATCTAAAGATTTATTACTATTCAGATCACCTAATTTAATTATTTTATTATTCACTGATCTTCTCTGAATTTTATTAATTAATTGTCTGAAACCAATTAATAATATAAACAATATAAAAAACATGTAAGCTATAACCGCATTATTGGTCATATCCAATTCATTAAATTTCTTATCAAAAATTTTATTAAAATTATTCTTAAAAATCGAAATATTATTAATATCAGGCTTCCTATGCACAGTAATAAAAGCATAAACCATGATTTCATAAATTTATATCACAAATTAAAATTTTTAAAATCCTTAAAATTAAATTTTAAAAAAAAAATCTTTTTAAATTGCGTTATGTGTAATACAAATAAAAATAATTTCTTACTTTTATATAACCGGAATCCACTATTATTTTGAGGAACCCGGTCCTAGAAATTTTTCTTCCTCTATTATATCTAAAATTCTCTTCACAAAATATTCACTATTTTTTAAATTTTCTTATTTTTCCCTAATAAGTGTTCACGAATTCCTGGTCAGTCTGTACCATTTTTATATTTGACAATACTACTTTTAATTTATATATTCTTTATTTTTTTAAATTCTATATATCAAAATATTCCCCATATATAATTTTCGTTTTTGCAATTTTTCTTTCAAAAAAAAATCAATAATATTCATCTCCATTTTATAAAATCCCCAACTGAATCAAATATCAAATTAACA